TTTTTGGAGCTCAATCTTTTTGCAACTCTTTCCGTTTTGAAACCAGTGAAACAGAGTTACTCACCACTTATATTAGTTTTATTATCCGAATATCTTCGTTTGTGTGGAGGGAACAAGTGGTCGACGCTCCTCCGATATTGACCTCTTTTTGCGCATTGTTTAGTGAGTGACTGCTCAGCGGTGCATTAGGTGATATATTATAGTTAAGAGACGTAATTCTCCCCTCCCCCACAAGTTTATACGCCGTTTTTGCGCCGTTTCTTCTGAGATACCTGTGGAACACATTACGGTCATGAAAATGCCCTGCCTGTGTGATTGAAAATTTTTCCAAAATAGATCTCTCATGAGCTAGTCATTTACATGTCTCGTTTACTGACTTTACAGCGATGCCAAGATGCGTTTGGTAATACCTCCTGATGTTTGAACGTTCACTTTCGTTGTTCGGCGACATGTGTCCGGTTCCTGAATTGCTACCGATGTATGTTGTTCAGAAATACCAGCAACAACACGGTGATTGTGTGAAATGCCTGAATCCAAGAGAGCTGTACAGTAGGCGGTAATCTAATTTTTGAGAAGGCGAGGCTTCATAACATGCTCGGAAGCATGCTGGGAACCAATATTTTGAACAAATGCTTTACCTGCAAGCTTTCGGTTCTTGTCATGATCTGCATTTAAGAACGTCTCTGCTGCGTCTCACGAATCCCTGTGTTTGTACTTAATGTGGTGGATACTTAAACATGAAGATATTTTTTTAACAGAAACTCTGGAAAGGTCAGGCAGCATCCATCCGTAACGAATCAATGGATAATTCTTCGACTCTCTATGCTGACAACGAACTAGTCATCTTTAAGCACTGTTCAATTCTTGTTTAAGAGGAAGCGAATTTTAGCGATTAACAGTACTGAATAATTATTAGGCATGATTTCACTAAGCTGGGTGCTCGTAAGGGGCGTCAATACCTTGGTAAGGGGTGCCCTCCTTGGTCATAAATACGTGGGAGATCATCAGTAAAGGGAAAGCAAAGATCGTGTATGCAACGACTTGAATGTCACTCGCCCTTGCACTTCAATATGTCGATAACGCTGTCACATTTTCCTTTCGTAATGTTTATGACCCAGCGCTAGTTCTCATTCTTTCCTGGATTTGCGGGTGGCGCCTGTTGTTGACGTTTAGTCAGCTATAAGGTGGTCAGGATGAATTTAACCCGTAAGGTTCAAACACTTGACAGCATAGAGGTATGTCTCGCATGCTCTGGCATGGACATGACGCAGCACAATGTTGTCTTTATTGTTTTTGACAGGTTGTTAGTGTTCATCCTCATCCTGATGCTCCTCCTCATTCTACTCCTCGAATTCATCATTCTGATCTTACCCTCATCATTATTCTTATCGTCGTGATGCTCATTTTTATCATTGTACGCAGATTATTTTTAGGGCTATGTCTACGGCTATGCGACAATTATAGCATGTGGTCGCCTGTGTGATTCTCATAAAGCGATGCTCATTAGTTTACTTGAGAAGGATAAAAGGCCACTGACGCGACCTGGCTTCGAATCTCGACCTGCATTATGCGACTCTGCCGCTTTACCAGCTGACCTCTTTTGGCTTTGTGACTGTTGCCTCTCCCATAATTTTATTCGTCTCGACAACTGCCGTGACACCTGTTATCGCCTCATCGCTCTTACATCAGATTTTTGAGGTTTCTGCCATCCAGGACTGACATTTTCTTCCGATGTTTGATAATCTCTATAAAGCGATGTTTTGTTCCCTCAGTTTGGTTGAAGAACTGCCACTCATTGTTAAGAGAATACAAGATATGAGGGAAAATATTTCCAAATGCTTTCTGGAGGACGAATACGGACAGCGAACCCCAATCCTTCCTTCCAGACTTTTATTCATAATGTCTTTCTCTTAGACAGAACCGCCTTTGAAATTTGAAGAACTACATTAACTGTGATAGCCAAAGCGAGCGATGTGCTGCTCGTTGCCAATCATGTCTGGCATATCAATATTCACAATGACGTACTCGAAACCGGGTTGCAGGAAAACGAAAGACAGAGTCGGGTATTCGAACATCTTACCCCCGCCAGTATCTACAGTAATGGCAGTAACGGCCAACGGCGTCAGAAAGTGACCTCCGTATCGCCGTTTGTCGGTACGGCAACATTAGTTGTCCATTTGATAAGTATTTCTGCCGTTGTCAGTTCTGAAAGACTATTCGTGTCATTCGTTTCCGGTGCCTTGTGCAGGGACCGCTATGGTGCCACGCCTTGAGCTTCTGCCGGAACGCGTACCTAATTCCCTCTGATGGTGGACGCAGGCTCTGGCAGTGCGCTTTTTCAGTAATACTGAATTCTGTCCTTGGAGGAGTTATACTCGTAATCCAGCGATATTTAAAGATCCGGCCGGATCTTTGGCCTGTTAAAAACGAGTAAAAACGTTAAACGCAGAAGCGCTTTAAGTGTCAGATCGATCTTGATCAAGAAAGTGAGTTTTGCTAATAACATGACGTATGTAAGTTATTCGTTGTCATCCGTGCACGACACGCCAGGTGAGATCATCATGCTGCACCAAGAAATTATGTAACATATTCAAGATGTTCACTTAGAAATTGTAAAGCTCCTTAAAGAGACGGCAACACATGTGAAATCTGCTACGCGTTTCAGATCACACTCGATTCGTCTTCAGGCATTGGCATAATACAGCAGGAACGAACCTGTTCTATGTTGCGTTATGTCACTCCATGGAGACGGATCGAGCTGATCCGAAACATTGCAGAATATATAAACGGTAAATATGATATTTTATGTCATCCCACCAAGAATCCTTCTAATTCTGAACTCATCGCTCATTTTCAACGATCTTTACCTCATAATACGTTTGCTGTGCGCAGAACAAGCATGAATAGCCATACCTCGTTTATCACCGGTTATGGTAGAGAAGCAAACAATTTACAAAACTGCGAATGGTGTGTTCAAAATTGAAACGATGTCATTGTAATACTGCGTGTTACTCTATGCGACTGATTTCAGGCTGTCCACCGCAGCGACCGTACTGCAAAGAGCGTCGGAAACGGTGCGATCGAACTTTTTGGACGCGGCCGATTTTCAGGCCATTTACGCTCTTATAGCCACATGGGATAGAGTCGGCTACTACGACGCCCATCACGATAAGGTTCGTATGTGGTGATGTTGTTCGTGTTGGTGTGTTTGCTATTTACTGTTTACTCTCTCTTTATGCGAGCGTCGCTGTTCGTCATGCCAATCACATACCAGACCGGTTTTTCTGCCCCCGGCCGGCGACTCGTTCGTTTCACTGGCACTGCCCTTAGTACTAAATACTCTCCCGCGGTGGCAGGCTGTAGAAGCCATCGTCACATCGGCGACCCAGTAATTTCGGTTCGGTTCCCGCCCGATAAGCCAGCCACCCTGCTTTATCACACACTTTAAACCTTACATAAACACTGTACACACGGGCTTCCTGAAGTAGGTGAGAAAATTTCGGATTCTAGAAATGCGATACAATAGGAAAGGAGTTAGTGGTAATGATACATTTCTCCTGAACAAGGTTCATGGCGACAGAGTTTCACTTCCCTAACTGCGAAGTAATGAGGACAAAAATTTCTCTACTACTTCGCCATTCTTTTGCTTCTTACTCACATCGGTGGTGCTCTACGTAATGGGAAAGCACGAGTAAATTGAGTGTTTGGGCAGTTACACGTTTTTTAACTCATTGTGTTTATTAATGGCCTTTTTCGATCCACTGCTGGGGTTGAATGTCTGTTCAAGACTTTGCAGTGAACTTCTGTTTTCTGCGGTTCTTCTTGATCTGTAGTTCTTGAAGTATTCCTAAACACTGTTTATCCTCTGTTGGAACCCAGTCAAATGTCTTTTTGGTCCATCGATGATTGGATATCCTTGTAATGTGCCTTGCACATTGCAACTTCGAATTCTTCACTCATGCAATCACATCATAAACTCCTTCTGCTTTTACCATTCGTTCTTCTTCCTTTTTTATAATTATTCACGACATGCAGCTGTCCATGCTATTCCGCGTAGTCTGCAGCTTATAAATAGTTTTCAGGTTTAGAGGTCACGCCATAGGTTAGCACTGGGAACCCACATTAATCGGACACTTTTCTTTCAAGCGCAAGAGCATTTTTCTGGATAAGAACGTTTTTAATTGTCCAAGGACTCTTACTCTTGTGTTAATTTTGCAGAGTCGGTTGTCCGTGCCGGATATGAGCTGTCGAACAAGACAGCTTCTCTGGTTCATTTTTAGGCCTGCTTTGTCGTTTTGCTCTTGAAGCTGCTTTTGAAGATATTTCCAATGGAATATT